GTCAAATTATATTTGACTATGTATAAAGTGGTCTGTATACTGGAAAACATCTTTACAATTACCACTACATCAGCCTGCCTTTTTCCTTCATTCTTATTGCCAGTCTCAAAGGAAACAAATCTCAGTGCCCGGTCATCCTTCCACAGTCTCGGGACCACTAGCAACAGTCTAATTAAGAGGTCAAATTCTGTGATACAACCACAAGCTCACTATCGAGTAAACTCCCAGCAGTGACCATATCTAGGGACATGGACCATATCAGCCACCATGTCTAGGGACATGGTTTAGTGGTGGTTTTGGCAGTGTTAGATTGACGGTTCGACTTAAAGGTCCCTTCCAACCCAGACAATTTTATAGTCCTATATACATACCTTGTATGCAACTCCCTTTCTACTTTATTCCAGGGCGCTAGTATTTTTCAATTTACTGTCTAATTCCCTATCTAGTCACTGTTTAGCAAAGCTATATGTACATACTTTAAAAATCTCACAAGCCATTTCTTCCAGTCTCTTTATAATCCTATTTCTTATATGAATTATTTCAAAGTATGTTGACATTTTTCAGTATCAAGATGCCAGGAACTATATACAATCTTTGACATACAGGAGAACCAACTGTTAACAGAGATGGGTAGCACCTTTCCAATAACCAGTCTGAAGAGGCACTGAAGGTAATACTATCTAACAGTTTAGTTGGTCTAAAAGCAAGAACATTTTTATACCCTCTCCTCTGTAAGTGCATAAAAAGTCGTAGTCACTTGTTATAACTATACATCAGTAGGAGTCTTCTGATCTTTTTTTCTTCAGAATAAAGAAGTACAGTACTTCAATTTTAACTAAAGAAGCTTTCTGAGGGAAATGGGCACAGTAACTTATTTCATTCTCCACAGAGTCAATTATATAGCTTCAATTTACCTTGCACCACAATCAGGCAATACTAGCTCTGTGCTCTCACTCCAGTCTAGCGCTAGGCTTTGAAATCTCAGGAGCTCAAGTCAAAAACTTAATCTAATTTCTTCTCTGTGGATATTTTTTTCTCTCAACTATAAAGGAAACGTTACACAATGACTAGACACCACCCAAAACGCAGCTCAAAGCTGCCATCTCTAGGTATTATGTTCTACTGCTCTACACACTAAATTATTTTCCTGTTTTTTTCCAAGAGACTGAACGTGTAAAAGGAAAAATATCAAAAGTTTATCCTAACAAGTTAATTTAAGAACTTATTGCAAAAGGATGCACTTTTTCTCTTGAAATTTCTTCAACTTACATAACCAGCTCCTTTTGGCCCATCTAATTTTTGACATTTGACATAATCACTAGTAAAAGCAACATATTAGCTAATTATCTGACATGGAGTGGTGCTGTGTTCATTATTAATGAATTCTAATTACTAATTAACATTTGCCTTTGACAACAGCAACAGCTTCTTCACTACACACTTACTTGTAGCTTCCATTAACAAGAGTTACATTTCCTCACTGAGATCCAAAAAGATCTCTGAATTAACACAGGTCTATTGTATTTAATATTTGCTGGTAAAAGTACCTCTTAAAATGGTTATCCTTTAGTCTGCACTATCTCAAGAAAAAAAATCACTGTCAAATAAAAAGGTTAAATGATATTTTAAGCTTTAATTCTGAATTGCTAAATGATACATTACTTGAATGTTTCCCAACTAAAATGTCCACATTCTACAAGAACTGTAATAACCAAAGATACCAGTCAGGAAGATCTGACCTTTCAAAGAAGAGGTAATACATTAGTAATGAATCAGGGAACTGACAACAAGAAAAGCAATTTTTGAATTGATGTTGAAGCATGCACAGACTCTAGTGCATATTACTACTGAAAAACACTTTTACAATATTAAACATGCCATGTACACATTCAACATCTCTGGAAGAGCAGCAGATGCCAGGGAAGGGAGGAAAAAAAGTGAAGAAAAAAAGCACAAAACAAATAATCCACCCACACCTACAATTCTGCTTAACTACAAAAGGAGCACTATATAAAAAGGAAGACTGATCATAAAAAGAAACTAAAAGATACAACTAAAAGGATAAAATCTTTAATGACAATATAAAGACATTTTAAGGACATCTTCTCAGATCACATGCATGCTTCCCATTTAAAAAAAAAACCACACACCAACATTTCCCATTACAAATAACAAAATTAATAAAGTTTAACTTAACAGGAGGATAATGGAGACTGTTAGAAAAAAGTAAACTTCAAAATAAAGGTTAAAAAAACTCCAGATTAAAATGCAGAGATGTATAAAGGAAAGCCATGAAACAGTTCAATGACCTGCCTGTAAATTTATGGATAAAGTACTAATACGTCATTTTTCAAATGCATTAGAAACACAGCCAACTAGATAATTTGTGGTGCCAATAGACAGTCTGAAGGACTATTCTGAGAAGATAAAGCCATAGCAATAAAGTGAAGTTAATTCTCCCCCATGAGTTCATGCTAGACTTTACAGGTATTTCCATAGCAGAAATTAATAACAGAGCGTTATAGTAAAACAAAAAAATCCCAAACTGACAAAACAATCAGCAACGAGTCACCAGGATAAATTCTGAAGGAATTTAAGAACAAAACAGCTGGCCCCTGTCTGTAGTGTGTAACTCCCTCCTTAAAAATGTGTCTGTACCAAAAGACTGAAAAGCAACAGGCAGAAAGGACAGAATTCAGTGTACACATGGCTAAGACAGTCAGATTGAGGAAAAGCCTACCAACTTTTGAAAAGGGTGTTTATATCTTGCAAATCATTGGATTTTCCAGAAGGAATCAAAGGTCTGGTTGACATAGTAACCTGGAATTTCCAGATGATGCCTGGTAGCATTCCTCATGCCTTAAAGAAACTAAGACGGTCTGGGACAAGCAAGTCAGGTAACACAAAGCTAAGTAATTTGATAAAGAAAAGTTTGGGGAAAAAAAATCATCACTTCTTAAATAAATAGAAGTCATTAGTGGTGTCCCACAGAGATCTACAGTTGGGATTTATTTGTTCAACATACTGAAAAACAATCTGGCACAGGGGTGAATGGAAAAATGACAATACGATGTTACTCAAAATAGCTGAAATTATGGTCAAAAGCAAAGAATTGCAGAAGAATCTCCTAATGCTGAATGTGAAACACAAGGGGAAATAAAAGGGTAAGTAAATGTTCACATAGATAAGCATGAAGTGATGCATATGCATAAGAAACAATTTTAAGTCTGTATATAGGGTGATGGGTTTTGAATTGACTAGAATGAGATCTTGAGGTTATAAATGGTAGTTCTGTGAATATACCAGTTCAAAGCCAACAGCAGATTTTCAAAAAGCTAAAATACCATTAAGAATTAATAGGAAAAAAATTAGATCATTAATTCTATGACATCAATCTCTGAAGTACCAATACACTAAAGACTGATTTCCCATTATCTTGGAAGAGATATAACAGAACTGGAAGAGGTAGGGGCAATGACACAATGTTATCTAAGGTATGACATAGCTTTCTTCTAGAAGATTATTAAAAACTCAAGGAATTTTCAGCATGTAAAAGAAATGATAGAGGATACGATGGACTTACAGAGAATCAGTGGTACAGAGAAAATAAATGGAACATAGTATAAGATAAGAGTAGGGATTATCAAAATTAAACTAGCTACTACCAGTTTCCCAAAAGGTGGTGTTTCCTCACAAAATACTACCCTGTGCCTAAGAATTTCAGTGTATCAATGCTAAAATATACACATGGTCTGAAAATTTGGAAAAAATAAAACACATGGATTCATACTCTTTCCACAAAAATACTATCCTATCTTAGAAAATCCAAGTTGTGGACTAGGACAGTATCCTGAAGAGGCTTCTCTATGTTTTTGTCATTTTTTCTTGTATTCTTCCATAGACTTTCACTGTTACCTATTATTCAAGACATGTTCCCAGGCTAGATGAAGACTCTGGTCTGACTTGATACAACCTTTTTTGTTCTTCCCTACTGAAGGTATCTTAACAACTGAAAATTTGTGGTAGAGAAATACAGAGTTTGTACTACAGTTAACAAGTCTGCCACCATCTGTACAAGGCTAAATTTCGTACTGCATTCACTTTTGGTCCTTTATATTTTGGAGACATGACTAACACTAGCCAAAAATTAATGACCTAAGAAAAGGCAGGTTGTTTTTTTTTTTAAATAAAAAAATCATTGCTGTTCCAGTAAAGCAGCATGATACCAGTAGAAGCAAAACTGCCAGTAGTTGATATTTATTTGAACTTACAGTAAAACAATAATGTAGAACAAGCGTTTGTATTTTAATAGTGCTCTGGTTCTGTAGTAAGAGTAATAACACATAAATAAAAATGTGTTTGTTACCGTCACGGTCTTTAGGGCATTAACAGGCCTTAATGGCCCTGACCAGCCTCACCCAGAGGTCAGCCAGGGACCCTAAGTCCCTGACTGCTTGCGATCCTGCCCCCTGGTTGGACCTAGACCTGCCCTGTAGGTAGCTTGTCTCCTGGATGGACCCCTCAAGCATACCTTGTAGCCATCATTCCAGTCCTGTCTCTGGCCTTGTCTCCCTGTGCTCCTGATTCGATCCCTGACTAATCCCTGGACCTGGGTCATTGCCACCAGAGCACCTGGCTCTGCCTGTGGGGCTCAGCCCCTGAGGATGGTGTCTGGTCAGCAAGAGCACTGCTCACGCTGGAGTCGCCCTTGGCTCCCAGTTCGCCTTCCCTTACCGCAATTCCAATTATAGCTCCCCTTTAATGCCAGGTTTAGCTCTGAGGGTTTATGGTCAGCTAGTAAGTGACTAAGATCTATTGCACAATCTTTTTTTCCAAAAATTGTGCAATACATTTAAGGACTGAAGACGACACTAATACAAAATGTTTAGGGACTAGAAATTAAGTTATCCTCAAAAATCTACGTTCATGATGAATCATTTTAAGATCACTAACAACACACACAAAGAAATTCATTAGATAGCATGCTGAAGAGTCCAAACCTGGTATAAAGCAAGAGTGTGTCCGTATCTCTGGAGCGGCCCTTTGGATACAGGTACTACATTCCATATACTGCTTTCCAAATTGTAGCTAGAAAAGAAATAGAAAAGCAAACATTTTCTACCTGCAGAGAAATAGAGGTTTTTCTATGTTCAAACTAACTGATGTTTGGCAGACTTGATCAGTCCCTGTTTATCTGTCGTGGTAATTTGTTAGCAGCAGTATCATGATCACTTTTAACTGTTACAGTGTATTGACTCGTGATAGCATAACTAAATGTTCACCAAGCAAAACAGGAGCAGCTCTTTCAGGGAGCCATCAACAATCTCAGAAAAATGGGACTATAATAAAAATCACCAGACTTCTAAGAAAGTTATGAAACTAGGTTGCCAAGCTCACTATTATTAGCCACATAAACCACCCCACTAAACTGCTTACATCACAATCTTTTGCCCTACTTTGAAGACTTATTGTTGAGCATCCTCTCAGCTACACGGCTGATTCTAATTTCCATTAAATTTTTAATTAACAATTAATCCATTAATGCGTTAATACACAACAAGATGGAAGAGAGGTAAAAAAATAAATGACAGAGGTAGAAAAGAACACCAAAGATGATGGGATTTGTTTTGGATGATTGCAAACGCATGGAAGAAAACAAGATGTACACAAAAATAGGAGAAATAAACATGTTAATAAACATACCCTAACACTTACATTTGCCATGTTTAGGGCCTCTACATATATACAAGTTACCATCCAATTCAGCTAGGTAATATTTACAGCTGCTTCAACTTTGTTTTCAATATGTGGTACACATACATACAAACTGTCATAAATATAAAGAAGTGAAATACGGATGACCAGCCTAACCTTACTGGCATGGCACCAGAAGGCTAAAAGCATGCATTAAATACAAGTCTTCTATAATTATAAGTTAACTTCAGTAATGCAGATAGCATTCTACATGTACTGTCTGAAAAAAACAGCACATGGATTTCTTTCCCTGTTTTATCACTCCAAACACTTTTGTTTTGCAGCAAAGTATAGCAACAGTTTTCACAAAACTGAAGGAATTATGGATTAGTATAACTATAGATTGATGTTGCACATATTTTCACTTTTTTAATCACAGGAAAGTTACAAGCAGAGAATAAGACCATTACTAAGGAATCTAAAAACATATAAACAGTTCTGTTAAACTGCAGGAAAGAGGCTACCTCCCTGGTAAGATCTGTTTTCCCTAAGCCCCAACAGAAAGAATATGACAAAGGAGAAATCACTTACTTCAACACCATTTGGAATGAACTGTAGTTAAAAGTGTATCCGCCAATCACCCACATAAATTTCCCGTGTAGGACTGCTTTATGGGAAGCCCGGCCCACAGAAGGGCTGAATGGCTTTACGTTTGGCAGAATCCAGTAAGACTCCGTGGAAGGGACGTTCAAAGAACAATCTGGACCTGTTTTGTAAACAAATGTGCAATTTGTACAAGCTGTTAGACAGGAACGTTAAAGCCAATAAAGCAGAAACAGGGGAGGCTTAATTACAGATGTCAGGATTGCTCATTCTGATAAAATACAGCATACACTTTTATGTTTAACAGATGCTCAATGAAAAAAATGACAACAACGGATGTCAATCAAATTGAAAACGTTAGACTAGCTCAAATAATAATGATCCATTTCTGCATTCTTCTCAGAAAGCATACGCTATGAGTCACAAATTGAAAGAAAGGCATAATGCATCATATTTTTAGACGCTGTACAGGTCTAAAGTGTGTAGCACAATATACACTGCATGTTACCTCTGGAGAAAAACTATACTGTATTTGAACTAACCAGAGTAATCGTATATCAAAGCAAATAACATTACAGTAAATTAAGTTACAATACACATTATACTATATTAAATCCCAGGAATCAAGATTTGCCTTTTGCCAATGCCATTCTGCATCATCTTTCAAGAGTAAAATACACTATAAAGTGCTTTACAAAAAGAATGATTTGAATATTTAAGTTTTATAGAATTTTGTAGATTATTCTATGAAGCTACCAAACCCCACAACTACATATTATTTTGGAATTTATTTTAGCCAATAATTTTCACTAAATAAGGAAAAGTCAGCAAAATGAGTCAGGTTTAAGTTATAGGACTATTAAAACGATGAACAGCAGAAGTATTTATTTTTCATTTGTTCTGTAATAACCAAAATGTGATCTCTTCATCATTAGTTTATGCTCTAGATGTTGGAAGAACTTTAAAATCTTGTTATGTAAAACCTGAATATATTCAGAAATTTGCTATAAAAAAAAATACCATATATACACTATTTACCTCTTGTCAGTCACTGTACATCATTATTGACTAGCTTTATTTCTAGATGGGGAACAATGAATTTTTAGGACACCAATGTGTTCCACTTCAAGCATTATCAATCATGGAATTGAAATTTTTGTTATCAGTGATGGCCTACAGATGTTGTAGGACAGCTAAATTATTTCTGTAATATGATGCTAATAGTATAAGCAGTGTTCTGTCCTTCTCAGCCTGCCTAACTGGGATAAATCCTTCCCTCAGGCTACGGGACGTTACTAATAACCCCAGCTCTTGAAGCCAGACCGGGCATAACTTTTTTTGAAAACTCAGTGATAACATACTAAAAAACAAAAATGCACATGACATCAAGTTTTTAAAAGGTTCCAGGGAAGATCTGGAAAACTACTGGCCTGCTACGCTTCAGTTTCTACCGGACAAATTAGTAGAAACTGTAAGAATGGACAGAATTAGTCAATAGATAGATTATTGCCATCTACTCTTAAAAATCAGTATGGCTTTCATAAAGAGAAGACCTGTCTTCCAAATCTATTAAAGTTCTTTGAAGAAATCAAGATGCAGCGATCCAATTGAAACATTGACATGGATTTTCACAAGGCTTTTAACAAAATTCCTTACCAAAAACTTTTAAGGAAACTCCACTTTTGCAGCAAAAGCATGAAGGCCTTTGCATGGCTAAATAATTAACTGTAAAATATAGTAAGAAACAGTAAACAGGAGTAAATGGCCACTTCTTAAAGGGAGGGAGTTCACCTGTGGAGTCCCACAAGGATTTCTGCTGGTGCCCAAGGTATTCAACATACACATTAATGATCCTAAAAGAGGACCATCAGTGAAGAAAGTTTGCTGATAAATGCAATTACGGGAAGGCAGGAAGAATAAGATCAGCCTTTGAAGAACCACAGAACCAGTTCTTGCCTCACCATATGACCGGGTGATAAAATTAGACATGAAACTTAACATAGATAAATTTTAAACTAAGGAAGCTACGTTTTAGATAGACTAAAAAGAAGACGGTCTCTTAACTAACCACCACTAGTCAGTAGCAAAGTTTTATCTTCCAATAACTCATGAAAATATCACGTCAACACAGCAATGGTCAAAAAAAATAAACGTTACGAATAGAGAACACTGCTACCCCACTGTATAAATCAGTGTTTTGCCTAACACTTAGAAAACTCTGTGCCCTACTCAAAAAGACGACAGATTAGAGCTGGAGACTGTTTACAGGAGAGTAATAAAGATGTTCAAAGGAATTGGAACTACTGAGTTGACTAGTGCTTTTTCACTTGGAAAAAAAATTTGGAAATAAACGGCTATAAAATAAGTGACAGAGAAGGGTGGATATGAAGAGTCTACAATCTCTCTGAATATAAAAACTGAGATTTATCAAATGCAGCTTAAAGAAGCCAGGTTCAAAACAAACAAGAGGAGGTGGTTCTTCATGCAAAAAGTATCACATCTCCTTGGCAAGGACGCTCTCCTGACAAAGGATGCTCTGGATGCAAAGGTTTACACTGAGTCAAGGAGAGACTGGCCAAGCATTTACAACACAGAGTCGCTGAAGTTTCCTAAGTAAACTAAATAAGTAACTTGCATCAAGTTCAAAATTTTAAAACATATTATCTTTGGTGGAGGGGAAGATTACATTTTTCCAGTGTATATTACCATTTGGGGGGCAAATTGTTACAATTACTTCTTATACACAACAACCAGGCATCTAGTCTGTACCTAACCAGTTTCCAACTTTTCCTACTACTCTACAGAAGAACGATGTCCACTTGTATCCAGATTACCTTCCATTCGTTAATTGATGGAGACACTCAATTCCCATTGTTCATTACACATTGTACCCAGAAAAGATTAATGGTATTTGAATGAGGTCTAATGAGAGCATGAACAATTCAGTATATTATTTCTTAAGCATTAATAATAAATACTGTAATAAAATTGTAACCTCAGCAAGATTCTGATTTGGTAAATCACCAGAGGAAACACTTAATTTGAATCTAAAAGTGCTTAAAAATAAACAATTGATTAAGTATTCTTTGATCAGGGAAGAGCTTAGAATTACGAAAATGGTGCCTCTAGTCTGAAAACGAAAACACCTTTATGTTTTTTATTATAGCTACCATTCTTGCATAGAAATATAGTGGTCAACATTGCCCCCTAGTGGCCAATAGTGAATAAAACACGCAAACTATTACGCCAATTGATTTGAGATTGCCATTTCTTGAGACAGGGAACTGCAAGAATTCATATCGCAAATCTAAAATACATTTAGATGACATTGACTGTATTAAAATGAGGACGATAAAAAAATTGTATAAAAAGTTAACAATACAAAAATCTTAGCAATACTGTTAACCAGATCAGTGATTGAAAAAAAAAAATGTCACAGGTAACTTTCTTACAACCTCAGTGCTTCATTGCTGATCTACACTGAATGACAGGAAAGGTGAGATAGAGGCAAGAAACACCATGTATCCAGGTCTTGTTCTGGCACAGGGGAAGGACACATTCTAAGGAGACACACCTGAACTCAGGAGCTTGAAAGCAGCAGAACCTCCATTCGCTGCATCAAAGAACAGGTTCATGCTCTGTGCATGACACACACACATGCATTGAAATGACATCAGCTGACATTTCCACCAGAAGAGGCAACCCCTGGCCTCCCCTCACTGCTTACTCTCCAGCTCACATCGCTACTGGCACCAGTTTTCACATGGCTGCACAATGAATCGCACAAGGGAATGCATCCAGGTCAAAACTTACTTTTCTTTTAAGCCAGGCTAGCTTTTAATCTGGATGTGTTCCTTTGTACGTATTACCTTGTCCACATACACATGGTTGTGCCAACACAGGTAAGACTGCATGGCCAGGACTGCCCCTATAGTGCAAAACATTCATGGAGTTACTGCAGTATGTATAAATAAGTACAAAAACGGAATAAGAGTTGAAAGAACCCAAAGCAATAGAAAAATACTGACTTCTACTGAAACATCATTTAAAGAGCAAATACTTTTGTGTGGCTATTGCCTTATAAAGGCAAGGCAAATATAGGATTTATAAATATCATTTAAAGATTTTCCTACTTAAATATATATACCATGAAATAGCACCGTTATTTCAGCATAAATACATTTTCTCTTCAGAAACATCACATTCACTAAATAAATGCCTTTTGTGCAATAGAGAGCACTACAGCTGCAGAACAAAGATAATGAGAAATACGTTTTATTGTTTTCTATGCAAATATGATTTTTCTCCATTTATTTAAAATTGGATTTCTTTCTTATCTTCCTAATGTGTCACTCAATCTACTGGGGGAAGGGGGGAAAAAGCTTTAAAAAACAGCAAACAACTTTATAAACCTGAATTGGAAGTCAATTACATTATCCTCAAAGGTAGGAAAAAATTCTATAGGTTTAAAAAAGTGATTTACCCACAGAACACGATAGAAGGAATCTAATTTCTATTTACTGAGGAGTTTCATGAACTGCCAAAGTAACAATCTGTTCCAGTAGTTCAAGTCGTAAGATCAATTTCCACCTAATGAGAAAACATCATCTACTGTCTTCAACCCTAATCTTTTCCTTTGGGACCACAGGAAAAAAACAAAAAGGATTGATGTGTTGAACATAAATGCCACAATCCTGTTTTTCATACAGCTTAATCAAAGCATTTAATAAAGTATTTGTTGTTATTTATTCTTTATGTTTGATATTTGATCATCTGTGTTGAGAATTATTGCTTTAACATAATTTTTCAACCACCACAAATACAAAGCCAATATTACTATTCTCAAGTACTCAATAAAATCTTCATAATCTTCATATGATAATGAATTTCACATTATGAAAAATTTTTGAGAAAAGAATACATCTGAATATATTTTCAATAAAAATTCTATTGAAAGTTTTACTAAGCAGTAAATCACCTTTCTCACAGAAAAGTGATGAGATAGTAACTACATAAAAATACAAAGTTGCTATGTAAATGAAAAGACCAATGTTGCTCAAGAATGGCTCACCAGCATTCTAATAGTGGGTGTATTCATGTATCCCTACACTGCCCCTGCACAGCTCCGCAACATCCATACAGGATGCAATTATTTCTCCCCTC